AAAATACAACATTTCCTCATAGGTGGCTATGAAGATCCTACTAGTTAATAATTACAGCATGATTTGAAAAGTGTCCAACAATTAGTAAAGCCTACAGAAGCTTTTTGTGTAGATTAAAGAAAGTGAACTTGTCTATGTCCCTAACCATAAACATATGGCCATAATGTTAATATTACCTTTTTTAGTCACTTAATTTAAATCACTAGGCAAAGAACAAGCTACTTAATTGTGGTTACAGAATAGGATGTAAATTTATTAAATTTATTAACTTCAAAGACTTACAAAATATCAAAAATACAGAGGAGGAGGATGTAGCAACACAGGGGGTTAGCCTGCCGCTTGGGATGCCTACATTCCCTATGGGAGTGCAGGGTCCTGGCTGCTCTGCTTCCTGCCCAGGAAAGCAAAAACAATGGCTGCATTACTTGAGCCTCAGCCATGCAAACGGGAGCCCAGGGCGGAGAGCCTGGCTTCTGACTGCACCACCCCAGGCCAACTATTGAAGCCTTTTGCAGCATGAGCCAGTGGGTGGAAGAGCTCGCTCTCTCTCTCTCTCTCTCTCTCTCTTTTCCCCTTTCTCTCTCTTCCCCCAGCCCAGCTTCTTAAAGATTACATTTTCCTGTGATGTGAGCAACAGATTATCACGCTCAGCAATTATTTGCACCTTCAAGATAGAGTCAGTTATTAGTTTTCCTTAGGAGCCTTCAACTATGGCATTTCCCTACTTAGCTGTCAGTTTTTACTTCCCTTGGCGGACATTGGTCACATTTGTGCCATGTTTAAAGCTTTCTGAAGCCTCTGGAAGCTTCCATGAAAGCTAATGCTCTGCCTCTAGCATGCTTTTCCTTACGTTGTTGGTGTGGGGAGGAGACCAAGAAGAATCAGTCTTTGTGGATGCTGGGGAGATTTAAAAATTCTGGAGGTGGCAAGGTTCCTATAATAGAGTTGAGTTCAATAGTACTTGTGGTGTGAAGACAGTGAAACAAGAAACACACACGAGGGGTCAATGCCGTGGTACAGTAGGCTAAGCTTTCACCTAAAGCGCAGACATCTCATACTGGTGCCGGTTCAAGTCTTAACAACGCTACTTCCAATCCAGCTCCTGCTAATATGTTAGGAAAGTAACAGAGACAGGCCCAAGTCTTTGGCCTCAACTCCAAGTGGGAGACCCACAAGAAGCTCCTACCTCCGGGCTTTGGAACAGCCCAACTCTGGCCATTGTGACCATTTAGGAAGTGAACCAGAAGACGAAAGATTCCTGTATTTCAAATAAGAATAAATGAATTTTTTTAAAAAATATAAAGGACATGATGCAGTAGCCTAGTAGCTAAAGTCCTCGGCTTGCATGCACCAGAATCCCATATGAATATCAGTTCCTGTCCTTCTAGCCCCACTTCACTTCCAGCTTTCTGCCTTTGTCCTAGAAAAGCAGTGAAGAAAAGCTCAAAGCGTTGGGACCCTGCACCCACATGGGAAACACGGAAGCTCCAAGCTCCACTAAGATTGGCTCAGCTCCAGCCATTGGGGTCATTTAAGGAGTAAATCAGCAGATAGAAGAGCTCTGTCTCTCCTCCTCTCTGTAGATCTGACTTTCCAATAAAAATAAATAAATTTTGAAAAAGAAGAAAGAAAGGATTCGGCTGTGGGGCTTGGGTGGAGAGAGCCCTCAGCAGTGTGGCAGCTGCTGGGGGTACCTGAGCCAGGTTGGACTCAATGCTTGGGACTCTGGCCATGGCCACTGCTGCCATGTGGTGAGCAAGTCCTGGGCTTTGGGCGGCCAGTATGCCAAGTGGCACCAGGCCCTATCTACTGGCCACCCAGGAGCAAGCTCTATGGTTTTTGGGATATGTAATTGCTGCCTAGGTACATCCATGGATAAGGCCAAATGCATGTAGGTGAGGAATGAATCCTGTGTGACTCCCAGCGATGGGGTCACTGAACTTGCAGGCAAGCATGGGGACTGAGACCTGGTGGTTTAGAGAGGAGAGTCCTTATGATCTGTTTGGGTCAAACTGACTCACCAGCCTACATGGGAATCCTGAGATGGGATGTTAGCATAGAACATTTCTGAGCATCACACGCCAGCCCACACAAAAGCTATGGCTGGGGACCTGTCTGGCAGGGCTAGATCCCAGTACCTGACTGAGTGTCAGAACAGGGGATGGGTCACATTAGGCAGGGTCATGACACTAACCAGCACACAAAAGAACCAGGTCTGGAGGTAGATTCTGCAGGGCAATAGGTGGGCACAACCCTATGGAAATACAAGTCCCACTGGTTAGCTTAAGAGTTGGGGTGGTGATGGGCTGAGCTAGGAGAAACCATGGAACCCACCAACACTCACAGGTGCTGGGACTGGAAACAGGCTGGACAGATCCAAGCTGCAGCACCCACACGTGCATCCTAAAATAGGGTGTGAAGCAGGCTGGACCGCAATGTCCTCCAGCTCATACAAAGGCCAAGATGGAGTGGCAGGCTATGCCGGGCAAGGGCCTAGCACCTGCTGGAGCATGTGAGATCTGGGGGGGAGAGTGGGCCAATGGGGGAACCTGGGAAACTCCCCTATTGGGGTCATAGCTCCTGCTGGTGAGCACATGTTCCAGGCCTGGGTGTTGGGCAGCCTGGGCAGGGTAACTCCACCTGCTGGCTAATGTGTGGGGTAGTTTTAGAGGGGGCTGACCAGGCAGGGCCTAGCCAAACTTACTTCGCCAGCAAGAGCAGAAACCAGGCTGGAGCACAGGTCAAGCTCAGCTAGGCTGTCACACCTCCCAGATTGCATGAGCCTGGGATGGGAGCAGGGCCAGGTTCCAGCACCTACCAGCAAGTGGTGGGACTTGGGGTAGGCTGGGTCAGGCCAGGCTACAGCATCCAAAGGCAAAGGTCATGACAGATGAGGGACTAGGCCAAGCTGGGTCAGAGCAACCACTGCCATGTGCAAGATCTATAGCTGGGAACAGACCTGGTTGGAGAGCTAAGGGGATGCCCTGGCTGGGTTGTGGTTCCCACTGGTAAGCATGGGCTGGAATGGGAGCTGTGTTCTGGTCTGGACATGGCTGCAGTGTACCTTGGCACAAGTGTGGACTGGGGCTGAGTGCACCAGACTGGGCTAGACCCCAGCACCCACTGGTGCTTGTGAGGACCAGGGTAGGCATAAGATGGACTAGGCTAGGTTTTGGCCCCTACAAGTCAGACGTGAGCTGTGTCTGGGTTTGGATCAGGCTGGACTGGGCTGTACCCAACAATAATAACCAGAATGGATTGAGGGCCAGTGAGGAAAAGCCATTGTTCCTGCTAGGTCAGAAGGTGGACTGAGTAGGGCTGGCCCATGGACCCACCTGTGTATGTGAGATCTGACATTGGGAGAGGTTCTGATGGAGGAGCCTGGGAAACTTCTCTGTCAGGGCACAGACCCTGCAAGTGAATGCAAGAATCATGATAGGTATCAACCCAAGGCCAGACCAGAGAAACATATCCACAGGCATGTATTCAGCATAGATTGGGAGCAGACCAGGCTGAACCAGTTCACAGCACACACTGGTGACTAGGAGCACCAGAACAGAGTGTGGGAGGCCAGGTTTGGTTGCAACACATACTAGTACACATTACGGCTGTGATGGGGGACGTGCTGGGCTGAGCTAGGCTGTAACCCCACCAATCTGAGCTGGAATTTGGGCCAGGCCCAGCCAGGCCACAGCACCCACTAGCAAAAGCTGAGGTAAGGCAGGCCATGCCAGACTGAGCCGTGGCACCCAACCAGCACATACAAGATTTGGCAAGAGGGAGCAAAGCTGGTAGGGGGATGTGGAGTGCTCCCCTGCTGGATCACCACTCCCATTGGAGAGCATGAATTAAATGGGTGCAGACCATTCCTGCAATACCTATGGGCCTCATGTGAGCTAGACCAGGGAAAAGCCAGGCTGGGTTGACTGTTCCTATTGGTGCAAGTATAAGTCAGAGTGGGTGTGGGTTGGTTGGGCTCTGCTGCAGCATCAGCTAACAGATGCTGACATGGGGACAAATTCTGTCAAGCCAAACTGCAAAGTCACCTAGAGAATGCATGTTCCGGGAGTAGGAATGGGCCCAGTAGGGAAACAGTGGGCACCTCCCTCCTGGATTGCTACTCCGTCTGGTGAGCATGAGAATCAGGACTGGGGCAGGCATGGCTAAACAGAGAGTGGCACTCATCAGCAGGAGTATGGGCTGGATAGTGGGGCTGATTGGGTTGAACTAGGCATCAATGCCCATTGACATATGTACGTGAGCTAAATGGGATGTGGGACAGACTAGACCAGTCTACTGTACATACTTACAAACATAGGAACCAGGACAGCAGTTGGGCCTAATGGGGTTATTGCAGGTCGCTCTGAGTAGGCTGCAGCTCCCACTGGTTTAATTCGGAGTTGTGTGGTAGGCAGGATTAGGATGGGTTCCAACACCCATTGGTTTGTGTGGAAGACAGGGCTGAAGGCAGAACTGACCCAGCAATGGCAACCACCAGCATATGCATAGGCTGATAGGGGCGATGGACTATGCCAGATTCTGTACTGGCAAGCATACCCAAGAATCTGGTCTGGAATCACCTCAGACAAAGTTTCTTTGGGGATCCCCCCAATCGAACTGCTGAACTCAGAACCCCAACCATGAAGAAAGTTACAGTTTCCATGTTCTGACCATGGAGTGCATGTGTCAAAATTGAGCCACCTGAGTGGCTCAGACAGAGCAGTGGATAGCACATCCAAGCACATGGAGGATATGGTAGTACATTGGAGCCTGCAGAGGACACCTGGTGCCACAACAGAGGAAAGAACAAATTGATCAATTAGCTCAGCCAAGTGTTGGCGGTGAAAAGCTGGGCAAGAGGAGACATTAAGGTGCATTATGTCAGCCAGTGGATTCTGGAGAGATCTCAATGTGCTTGGAATGGCGAGATTAGAAGGAATTCAGAACAACTGAACTATGGAAACCCCTTGAGCAGTGTCCTCAGAGCATGCTCCGCATTGGGGACCCTGGGATGTTTAAGTGAATGAGTGTGGCTTCTCCCTTTGTCTCTCCCCTTCCCCCAGATATAGGAAGGAAAAGAGAATGTGAAAATAATGGTCTTACCCACTTTCCTGTGGCCCTTGACCCTTTGAGCCCTAATCAACTATGTAAAGATCATCAAAATTTTTAAAAAGCTTAAGAAAAAAAAAAAGAAAAAAGAAGGAAAGAGGGGAGGGAGGAAGGGTGGGAGGAGAAAGTAAGGAAGAAGGAAAAACACAGAAAGGAAGGAAGAAAATGACAAGATAAGACATACACACATACAAAACCCCAGGTTCTTGCCAAGCCAATAGACAATGACTGAAGGATACCCAGGGCAAGAGCACCTTCTCCATGGCACTTCCCCTCAAGTGCCAACAAGCCCACGCTGTCACAAGCTGGATCTTCGCAGCTTCTACTCCAGCTTATGAAGAAATGTCCTGTTGTCTTCTGTGGTTTTCTCTACTCAGAGCCCTGTGGTCAAACAAAGCCAGTCAGCAATTTAAAGAACCAGCGTTGGGAAACAAGAGTCCCAGCTTCATCCAAGTTCCTGTTTCTAATTATCTCTAAAAGCTATTTCTTTCCCTGCCCTTGAACTCATGTTTCTTTTCATTTCATTAGTTGGGAGAGGGCCAGGAGCAGGTAAGTGGGGTTTCAGTTTCCATAAGAAAGATCCTATATTTTAGGATAAAATACACCTCCAATGATACGACTTTTGCAATATGTGTCTTCTTTTCCAAGTGAGTTGAAAATCATATGGCCTTTATCTTCCTTCCTTTCCCCTGAGAAAATACTTGGTTAGGGAAATAGGTGCACTTGGCAATATTTGAGGCACACATTCTTTAGCCCTCTATTCTGCTCTGTTTAGGTTTAATTATACATGTTTGATTAGTGTGATTTCACTGAAATATTAGAGAAAGCAAGCTCAAACAACCTTTAGTACCGCCACCCTTCTGGCTAAGCAAAGGGGAGGAAGACTGATTTTCACATGATCTGGTCAAAGTTAGTCAAAGAAGTGAAATGTGTTGCCCTCATTCACATCTGGAAATCTTTAACTTTTCCATGAAAGCATTTATAATAATTACAGTCCATTTTCTGGTCAGAAGGACAATGAGTGATTATCATTTCACAAGAAGTGGGCCCTCATGGTTCCAGGAACTGCAGATGGTGATTAGAAAATTGCATTGAGTGTAAACTTAAAGTCCAGCCACTTGTTTTAAGAATAAGAATTTTTAAAAGCTTTAAATGGCAAATAATTTAAAAATAGAGATAGAATTTACATCCCATAAAGTCATCCCTTTCAAGTACAAACCAGTAGGGATTCATATAGCCCCAGAGTTGTGCCACCACTAATTCCAGAATATTTTCATGGAAGGCCTCAGGGGCATCTTAGGACTATCATTTTGTGGCTGGTGTTTTACTGTATCAGGTCAAACTGCCCCTGCGGTATTAGCATCCCATAAGAGTGATAGTGTTTGAGTTCTGGCTGCTCTGCTTCTGATCCGGCTCCCTGCTAACATACCTGGGGAAGCAGTGGAGGACAGCCCAAGTGTTTGCACCCATGCTTCTAAGTGGGAGATCCAGAAGTGGCTCCTGACTTCTGCCTGGCTCCTTTCTGGCTGTTACAGCATTTAGGGAGCGAAACAGCAGTTGAAGGATCTCTCTCTGTCTCTCCTGATCTCTCTATAACTCTGCCTTTTCAATGAAAAAAATAAGTAAATCATTAAGGGGGGGAAAAAGTTAGTAAATAAGCTAGCTTTTTGAGGCCATTCCTCCCATCATAGGCCCAAAGGCATGAAAGGGCAGATTTGTTCTGTGGGCAGGGTCCATAGGTTTGTCCAAGATGACATTTTGTTCACTCCACAGCTGCAGCCAGGGCACAAGGGTCCCTGGTGCAGCTTGGTTGGCATTGAAACTGCCCATGTGATGCTGGTTTTACAGGTGTGCAGAACACAAGAGTTATAGTGTCCTGGCAGCTTCCACTGAGATTCCGGCCTAAAGCATGGGAGGCTAGACAGAGTTGTAGAGGAGCTGTGGGAACAGAACCTATATGGAACCCAGGAAACAAGAGTGGCCAGCAATCTGCCATGCCAGCCTTGGCGAGCCTGGGGGGCGGGGGGAGGGGGGTCTACATACAGTCCCAGAGAGAAGCCACAAGAGCAGGGTTGTCCCTGTCACTATGTTCCCTGGAGGCAAAACACAGAGCTTTAGGAGCTAATGCTTTCCCTAAAGGGACTCAGACTTTCTTTAGGCCAACTATTTCTCCCAGCTGTTTCTCCATTTTCCCATCTGGGAATGACAATGTGCACCCTATGCCTTTCCCACCATTGCATCTTACAAAAATGTAGCTCTTTTTTTAAATGGGCTTTTAGTTTTAGGTTTTTTAAGTTTTATTAATCATTTTTATTTAAAGGGCAGATTTACAGACAGAATTGGGAGGAGAAAGAAAAGAGAGAGAGAGAGAATCTTCCATCCACTGACTCACTCCAAAAATAGCCACAGTGGCTGGAGCTGAACAAATTCGAAGCCAGGAGCCCGGAGCTCCTTCCAGGTTTCCCACATGAGTACAGGAGACCAAAGACTTCAGCCATCCTCCACTGCTTCCCCAGGCCATAAGCAGGAAGCTGTATCAGAAGTGGGTCAAGCAGGTCATGAATGAGCACCCATAGGAGATGCTGGAATCACAGGCGGAGAATTAGCTTGCAACACCACTGCACCGGCCCCAACCATGTAGCTCTTTTTCTAACAGGTGCTGGCAGTTAAGGGAGTTTGCCTTGAGTTTCATATGGGAGACCCTGTACTTACACATTTAAGCAATTCTGGAACATTAAGATTTGGGGGCTCTTAGGTGAAAGTATTGAAGACATTTTGCATTTTAAGATGGACATGAAACTTCAGGGGAGCCAGAGATAAAGTGCTATAGTTGGGATATTGGTTTGGGCATTGCAGGTTCCCTATGGGCTCCCAAAAGCCTGCTGTCTAGGGTGGTACGGTTGAGAGATGGTAGAATCTGTGACAGATGGGACCCAGCACACGTGCTTGGTTCTTGTGAGAGGCTGTTATAAAAGCCCAAGTTTGGACCCAAGATCTCCGTCTCAGAAGCAGAGCAATTAGTAGTCAAACCAGTGCCCTATGGGAAGCCAGTGTCACAGGTGGCAGCTTAACCACTGCCTCACAACACCAGTCCCTGGGGAAGATTTAATTTATTTATTTTTATTTTAAGAGCCATTCCGAAGCTAGGAACCAGGAGCTTCTTCCAGATCTCCCACGCAGGTACAGGGTCCTAAGGCTTTTGGACATTCTCTATTGCTTTCCCAGGCCACAAGCAGGGAGCTGGACGGGAAGTAGAGCAGCCAGGACATGAACCAGCGCTCATATGGGATTCTAATGCTTGCAAAGTGACCATTTAGGCATTGAACCATCAAGCCAGGCTCAGTTTTAGAAATGAGAACACCAGCTCAGATTGTTGAGTTCACTTTCAAAGGCCGGATAGCCAACATGTCTTTTAGCTAGGCATTGTGGTCATTTGGGCAGCAAACCAGCAAGCAGAAGATATGTCTTTCTTTGTCCTTCCCACTACCCCTAGCCCCCTCATCCCTGCCTGTCTGTCACTCTGCCTTTGAAACAGATTAACTAATGGGAAAAAAAAAAAGTTATTTAATACATTAAAGGAGAAGTACTTGCAAATTAGTAAGCCAAAAGGAAAAAAAATCTGTAAACTCTCCAGGCATGTCAAAACCAGCAAGACCATATGTGAATCAACTCTTGTTTCCTTAGAGGATCTATGAGTGTATTTAAAACAATGTAGGAAAAACAACCTACTCTATTAGCCAAACAATATTGTTATCCTCAAAATCAGAGAAACCACACAGGCCTGGATGGACTGGCCAATGAGAAGCTCCGATCTGCCCTTTGTACTACCCAGAAGTAGAGCTCTTCTTGTACAAGCAAGTAGATTTCATTTCTAGTTAGATTCTCTTCCAGGCCACAAGACTTCCTGAGCTGCAACTCTTGCTTCATTGTAAGTACTCTGAAAATCAGAACTTCAAAACTGTATCATAGAGCTGCTGGTGGGGGGAGGGAATGTTTAGTTTAAAAAGTCATCTAGTTTTCTTGTTTCATTCTTAACATGTCACATTTTGAGGTTCAGCTGAAAACCTGTTTTCTTATCTAATTCTGTTCAATTTAGTCGAGTTCAGCAATATGTGCTAAACATTTTGCTAGTTGTCATGGTTTTCAAAGTCATGGAAGATTTTAGCCTTAACTGCTCACCAAATACTGCTGTTGGCAGAAAATCCATATCATCTATCACATTTACTAACCTGTTGTTTAATTTCACTCCTTATTTTAGCAATCATTTATAGTGTCGAGTTAGTTTCTATGTGTTTGGCAAATATTTTATATATTTAAAATAGTAAGAAGCAACGAGACGGCATTTTGTAAATTTAGCTAATGAATTAAGAAAAGAGTTATTGAATTCTCATTAGGAGCAGAGCAAATTCAGCTGTGGTGTTTTCTATGTTATCTTTCATGGCTCAGGTTTGATCATTTGTACGATAAGAGATTATGAAATGGAAATGTGTCAATTAAAGCAAAAAAAATTAAATGAAACATCAGTAAATAGTAGAAAGAAATATTTGAGAACTAAATCTGGATTAATTGATATTAATAATATTTGTTGATATTAGTATGATGACTATAATACAATATACTGATCACATGAATTGTCATCAGGTAGACAGCTGTCCTAAAGAGTGAAGACATTGTAGGTGGTTCTAATGAAGGTTGATGGACAAAATTAAAATGTGAGCTAAATTCTGCAAAATTTTCTGCCATAGAAGTGATTCCACAGGGGAAAAAAAAAATTCTGAAGTGAGGTATTGGCAAATCTTCCAGTCTTGCATCTTCAGTTTCTACTTCTTGTGCTTTTTGTTCTTCAGTTTGTTTTTTCCCACGGGTCTTGGTGCGGTCACGCAGGGATAGGGTACAACAGCTATCCCCTTAACACTTCCCAAATCTAGCCCAAGACTCCGACACAGTGGGTGCTCCCCAAGCATTTGCTGTGTTGAATTGGGTCTGTAGCTGTTAGTAGCAGCAGTGAAAGGAGAAAGGCTGCAGCTATGGATGATCAAGGGGGCTCTGCGTGGCCTCTGGCTGGAACCCTGCAGGAGGCAGGGCTTGCAGCTGTGTTGGCAGCTAAGGAAGGGTCAGATGGTCCGGAGTGCCTACCCTGACATGGGCAACATCTCCTGGGAGGCAGGGATTCTGTTGATGCAGTTAGCAAGGCAGCCACGTGCTCACCAAGCTGTGCCTCCACAGAAGGACCTTTCAAATAGCACGGTGAGGCTCAGGAGTGGCAGGACTGCAGGTGTTCATGACGGTTTCCAGAAACCAGCTCTCTGGGCCAGACTTCACATCCAGTATGTTTTGGGAACTATTGAACTCAGGAACCAGGCTTATCCACGAGGACCCAGGAAACCTTAGCAGCATCACCCAGCGCTAAAGAGATTTCCACCCCAAATTTTCCCCTTCCACTTTCCATTGACCTTCTACGTTGAAGGGCTCAGGTTCAACCTTACTGGACACTTAATGGTTGAAGCAAAAAGAATAGCAGTAGTAAGGGCTGTTTTGCATTCATTTCTGCTTTCTACTTCGCTGTCATTTAAAGGATTTCTGGAATTGTTTAGTGGCTTTTTTTTTTTTTTCAACTGGAAAAGCAGAGTTACAGAGAAAGAGACACAGATAGATCTATCTTCCTCCTGCTGGTTCACTCCATAAATGGCTGCAACAGCCAAAGCTGGGTCAGTCCGAAACCAGGAGCCAGTTGCGTCTCCAGGAAAGCAGGGGTACCACTGCTTTCTCAGGCCACTAGCAAGAAGCTGGAAGGGAATTAGAGCAGTCGGATACAAGCCGACGATCATATGGGATCCTGGCACATGCAAGGTGAGGACCTTTATCACTAGGCTACTACACTGGGCCCTCTCCTCCAGGGGATCAGGTAGGTGGCTCATCAAGGAATTAGCCTACCATGAGAAGTTACCAATAACCCCCTCCCAGAATCCATCACAGGTGGCACACATAAATCAGTATTCTAGTTCCCTCTAGAAGCATCTATGGGCACAGCAGCCTTCCCCTGAGCTGAGAGTGACTGGTTGCCAGGGGAAGGAACTTGTAACAGCATTCCAAACCTCCAGAGACAGCAGGCTCTCAGCTTCAGTTCCTGGTTGCTAAGGTTCTCAGAAGCACCTGAGCTCTTCCAGATTCCCACATGCAAAGGGGCAAGTCAAAAGTCATGGAAGGAAATAGAAGCACGCAGCTTTGACAGTTAAAAACTGTTGAAGCCGCTGCGCGAAGGGAGCCAACTTTCAAAGAAATTCATGCGTGGGGTATTAGGCAAGCAGCAACTTGTGGGAGAGAGAGAGCAGGTTTTCTTCCTCCAGACTGGATCTCGGAGGCCCTCGGGGGAGGCTCAGGGCTTGTACTTCTGGGAAAGCGAATAGCCCATGGGAAAACACCGACTTGGATGAGCTCTCTTGAGCAGGAAACTGTGGGAAAGAAAACGAGAGTCAGATCACCGCAGGCCAGCTGGTGTGCTCAAATCTCCCCACTGCTGTTATAGTAGGAAGAAACTCAATGTGGGCTTCTCCAAACAACAGCAGGACTTTGGAGAAGGTTGGCACACAAACACACTCATTCAATTGCGGTTGATCAAAAGCCAGGTGCTCCAGGCACTACTGGCTGGAAGCTGAGGTGGGGCGGAATCCAAACAGCCACAGGGTGGCCCAGCTGACCCCTGGACAGAACGGATGAAAAGCTTCTGTGTCTTTTGAGCAGGAATTACACAGACGTGATATTGCACCTTTAATTCACAGTAACAGGTACTTGCACGCCCCTCTACTGGTCACATTGACTTTGGTCATTCAGCTCCGTGTCTGCCAGTCTTCTTCACTGTGAGGTTGCACTTTTTCCATTTATAATCCCTGAGGTTCTTCTAGGAGAAATACTATAACAATGCCATAATGAGAGTTTCTCCAGTACCTATTTCTCATCAGGTTTTCAAAACCTACTAGTTTTACCACCTCTGTGTTAGAAAAGCTCACACTCCACCACCGATCAACTCCAAAGGCTTCCGGAATTGCTCTCCACCAGCGGGCAAAGCGCCCCACACGATCAGCGAGTGGCTTGCACCACCTGTCTAGAAAGGCTCAACATGTGCTATTGAACCTTGGATTTGCATTGCCTCTAAACCCTCTACGGACAGGGCTGGGAAATCTACGTGCACACTCATGTGTATTCATGTGTGAGCTAAATATCTTTGTGTTTGCTTCTACTACAAAATTTAAGTCCTGCCTCCATGGCGCACTGGGTGTTGTACCTGCCCTGCTAATTTTGAGCTTCCCCTCTTTGCCATGCATCTCTGGGGCCCCACATGTGCATCGACATGCTTCACTGAGACTGCCATCCTGCCCATTTCCTCCAACATCTGCTCTCAAAAGCTGCCTAAAGACTCCCATCTCACCCTGTCCATGTTGATGGAGTTACACTCTGATTGCTGAACAAAAACACTTCCTGCATGCCACAAGCCACCTCACCCATGACTCTCAGTTAAAGCCTGCCCTGTGGGTCTTGGCACTTGCTCCCTCCCTGTGTCTTGGCCTCCCTTCAGACTCCTGCAGAACAGTGTGTGGTCCTCTGGGTATGCAGTGCCTCCTGTAAATACATCGGTTCCCCAGGCATCTGGCATGTAGTTCTCACAACCACATCACAGTGGTCCTTGAAGACTCCATAAGGAAACGGATACTTCCTTGTATAAAAGGGGTGTGTGTGTGTGTGTGTGTGTGTGTAACCAGCCATGAGCCCATACCTTGATTCTTATCCTACAGCAATGGTTTTATTCCAGCCTCTGCTTTCCCTCATTGGTAACTTCTTCTGTGGACTGTGGAAAACTTTAAATGCCAGAGGGCATTTAAAAAGTTCATGGAAAACAGGTGATATGAAACAGCTATGCACGGTTTCATAATTTTCATGAAAATAAACTTCTCTTTCGGTTCCTTGTTCTAAAAACTCTTTAAGTACCCTTGTGTTTGTTCAGATGTGTTTCAGAATTGTTAAAATTGTTCAAATGTACTAATGAGAGTGTGACTGTTCCCTCAGTTCAGTTTGTCCTTGGTGTTGTAATAGCCAAAGTTCTCTAAGTTACCTTTCCTTCACTTCCCTCTTCAATGCAATTATAATATTGATTATCATACATTTGGGGTCCCTTGCAACAATTTGCATTTCATTTGGGTTTCTTCCGCATCCTGGTTCACTGTGGTTCTTTGTGTACATGCTGGCTTCATATATGAAACATTAGCATGGTTGGAAGAGTCAAAGCTGTATAAGAAAAGATGTTAGAAGGGTCAGTCCATTCTTATTCATCCATTTCCGTTCTCACTCACTCTGCACATATTTTGTTAGTTTTCTAGTTTATTCTTCCTGCAATTCCTATTGCACAAGTGAGCAGGTACATGTATGTTTCATTTTGTTTAACAATTTCTTATTTGAAATGTAGAATGAGAGAGAGAGAGAGAGAGAGAGAGGAGACCCTCTATTTGCTTGTCTACTGCCCAAAGGGCTGCAGCAGCCAAGTGGGTGGCAGGGGCCCAAGCACCTGGGCCATCAATCTCTGCCTTCACCAGGGAGTTGGACCAGAAGTGGAGGAGCTGGATATTGAACCTACGTTCTGATATGGGATGCTGGCATCGGAAGTGGACACATACCTACTGCACCACAATGCCAGTCCCTGGATATGTTCGCATACCTCTAATATCTTTGGGAGGAGGATCAGTTATCGGCAACGTAGAATCTCTTGTTCTTAACAGCTATATAATGTCCATTTAAAGACGTTACAAAAGAAAACAAAAGGTAAAACCCAATTCTTGATTTAATAGATTTTTTTAAAAGATTTATTTACTTTTATTGCAAAGTCAGATATACAGAGAGAGGAGAGACAAAGAGGAAGATCCTCCATTTGATGATTCACTCCCCAAGTGGCCGCAATGGTTGAACCTAAGCTGATCCTAAGCTGAAGCCAGGAGCTTCTTCTGGGTCTCCCATGCAGGTGCAGGGTCCTAAGGCCTTGGGTCGTCCTCAACTGCTTTCCCAGGCCACAAGCAGGGAGCTAGATGGGAAGCGGGGCCACTGGGACTAGAATCGCGCCCATATGGGATCCCAGCACATGCAAGGCAAGGACTTCATCCACTAGGCTACTGCACTAGGCCCTGATTTAATAGGTTTTAGAGGACATTTTATATAATATCAGTAACTAGAAGATTTACAAACATCTTTTTCCCAGGTATTGGACTGATTCATAATTTACTCAAAATTTCCCTGTTCCAAACAATTCAGAAAATATATCACCTAGGACTAAACTGGGGTAACACCTCAAAGTTGACAGTTTTTATTTCTTAAATGGATCTTGGCTTTGATACCTCATAATCTTTCAGTATATCTTTAACCTTTACTTGTTATTTTTAATTTGGTTTTGTTAGTAAGACATAGGAGTTCCAATTTGCTTCATGCTTTACACAAGAAAAGCTACACTGTCCTTCTCTATACAACACCCACAATTAAAGCAGACTCTATCTCTCCCCCTCTCTGTAACTCTTTCAAGCAAATAAAGAAATAAATTTTCAAAAAGAAATTTTAAAGGGCTCAGTGTTGTGGTAGAGAAAGTAAAGCCATAGTTTGTGACAACAGTGTCCCACATGCAAACCAGGAGTCTTCATTTTTTTTAAAGATTTATTTTTATTTTTGTTGGAAAGTCAGATAGACAGAGAAGAGGAGAGACAGGAAGATCTTCCATGCAATGATTCACTCCTAAGTGACCGCAACAGCCAGAACTGTGCCAATCCGAAGCCAGGAGCCAGGAACTTCTCTTGGGTCTCCCATACTGCACACGAGGATCCGGGTCCCTGCTGCAGCTGTGGGAGAGACCCAAATGTAGTTCCCAGCTCCTGGCTTCAAACTGACCTTGTCCTTGCTGTTACGGAATGAATCAACCAATGGAAGATCTCTTGACTTCCTCTGTATCTCTACCTTTCAAGTAAATTAAAATAAATGTTAAAAAGAAATGAGTATAAGGGCCCAGGGTGATGGCTCAGGACTAAATCTTTATTTGCCTTGCAAGCACTTGGACACCAAATGGATGCCGGTTCATGTCCTGACAGCTCCGCTGCCCATCCAGCTCCCTGCCTGTGGCTTGGGAAAGCAGTCAAGGACAATCCAAAGCCAAGGGACCCTGCACCTACATGGGAGACCTGGAAGAAGCTCTAGGCTCCTGGCTTCAGATCAGCTCAGTTCCAGCCACTGTGGCCACCTGAGTAGTGAACCAGCTAATAGAAGATATCTATCTCTCTCTCTCTGTAAATCTACCTTTCCAATTAAAACAAATCTTTAAGAGAAAAGAAATAAGTCTAGGACAAGAGAAAATGTAGCAACAGGGCCAGTTTGGGGAGGTTAATGTAGACAGAAAGTTTCAGTAAGGCACACAGCTGTACAGAACATTCCATCCAGCCAGTATCTCAGCTTAACCATTGATTTGCCTGTCTCAAGAGAATTCAAGGTGTCTGTCTAAAAATAGTTGGTGAGCAACCTGGCTCCACCCCATTACCCAGTGTAAAGCACCTGTTCACCTTTACCAATCCAGTGAATTCCCTCCCCTCCGGCCCCTGGGGAGCTTCTGTCCTCCCAGGGCTGGGGTTGAGGAGCTGGACTAACCTCCTGAGCCAACATCATCCAGAACTTCCAAAGAGGGCCTCTGAGGAGGACCCCCGTTACTGACAGCCACTTGTTCCTTGACAGAGCCGATAACGTGGGACACTGCCTGGAGGAGATGCAGCCTCAGGGTCCGCCCGTGGTCGTGGTAACCCAGCAACCTGTGCGAGCTTTGCAGAATTCCAACTGGCAGACCGGCATGTGCGACTGCTTTAGCGACTGCGGAGTGTGTAAGTGCGGGGAAAGACCAGCCCTGGGTAGGACGTGCAGATGGATCGCCCCAGGACAACTCCTCCCTGGCTTACTCTGCTACCGTATGCTAAACGTCCCTCCTACTACCGCAGGGACTTAAGGAGTGGAAATGCCTTCTTCCCAGCATAAACACAGCAGGAAAAGGGTTCTGATTCCAGCAAGAGGCCTGGCCTCTTGATTTGCAAATAGGCTTTCTATTACTATAGATACATTTCAGCTTTCATTTGATTTCTATATATATATATATTTTTTTTTAAAGTAGTTCCTAGGGCATATGACTTAAACTCAGCTTTCAATTTGGTGATTGCACAATGTCCTGTCTACATGGGATCATTTGCTTCCATGGATTTCAGTGCCAGCTCAGAACAGAACTAATTTGCATGCTCCCAGGCCAGTTTTCCGCACACTGAGGGTAAAAAGGGGCCTCTCTAACTGGGCTTGAGTTCTTTTTGGGAAACTTGCTGAGTGCAATCTAAGTAAACTCGGGGCAAAGGATGCTCAGGGTAACAGGGGGGATGCAGGGAGGATGCAGGGAGGATGCAGGGAGGATGCAGGGAGGATGCAGGGAGGATGCAGGGGGGGATGCAGGGAGGATGCAGGGAGGATGCAGGGAGGATGCAGGTGCAGAGTTCCTCCATTGCCCAGAAAGCAAACCCACTCACCTGCGACAAAGGTGAAGACTCCTTACATAGCTCAAGTCACTGTATTCTTAGACCAGGAGAGTAAACTGCATGAACCTTTTGTTTACCTGTGCACTGAACTTTTAACTGAACCCCATTAAAGTCATCTAGTAAATGAGGTTTGTTGATTGGTGCTCATTGTCTCAGTAAGTGATCCAGGCTGATTATGAGACATTAATTAACATCTGAGCATCAAGATAACAATTAGGCGACACCAGGAAAAATCCCGATAAGCACTAATGGTCCCACACCTAATTTTGTCACCTAGTTCAATGAACAGATGCCTGTGACCTATGAGCTTAATTGGTTCACAGCAGACTTTCTTAAATGCAAAGCTGCCTACCTCATTCTCCCGATCTTGAATTATGTCTAGGGTCCCATTGGATTTCCACCCCAAACTCAGATCATTTTCGATCTTTTGTCATCTATCCCCAATCTGCCACATCCCCTTCCTGTCCCAGGGCTCCAGCAACTGGATGAACCTTGACCTCAGCCAAGTTATCTCAAAGAGACTCTTTTGAAAGGGAGAGAGGGAGGGAGCAAGGAGGAGGAGGAGAAAAAGAGAGAGAGAGAGATGGTAAGAAGGAAAGTATTATATTCTTGCCAGCATCCACGTGGATGCTGATTCAATCCCCAGCTGCTCCAGTTTCAATCCAGTTCCTTGCTAACGGCCTGGGAAAGGCAGCAAAAGATGAACCAAGTATTTGGGCCCCTGCACCTCATGGGCGATCTGAAGGAGGTACCTGGCTGCTAGCTTCTGGCTTCATTCTGTCCCAGCTCTGACCATTTCAGCCATTTGAGAAGTGAGCCAACTGATAGCTGATAGATTTCTCTCTCTCTCTCTCTCTCACGCACACACACGTTGCCATTCAAATAAATAAAAACAAGTCCATTTTTTTTTTAAATTACAAACTACATGGAATATGTTCTTTTTGTGATGTCATTTGAACAGAAGAGTTGATAAGAATTGTGTTGTAACTATTGTGCATTTGCTGTGACCCTGAGAATCTAATGTATCAACAAAGTCCTTGGGCAGAGGGAGCTCCTTTCCCTCTTTCCACCTTGAAAATGCCTATTCATCCTTCAATATTCAGTTCAATCAGCATTTTCTACCCAGGGTCCTGCAGGTGGCCCCTGGCCTCCCTACGCAGATTTCTGTCTGAGAACTTTTCTTATTGGCTCCACAGTGCACACAGTAGGGTCATAAAGGATCATGTCTGGAACATGGGTTCAGTGAATTGGTGGACACATGGAGGGCGGCAGCGCCGTGAGAAGCATGACATATTCTCCAAGGTGCATTCATTCCAGAAGTGACTAGGGAGTCAGTAGGGAGAAGCCGATGCAAGAACCAATAGGAGCGCTGGAGATGGATGGGTAAGGGGCTGAGGCCATGACAGGACTGCATGGATGTGGCATAGCCTTCAACTGCAGTGAGACAGAGTTGAGTCACCTGTATCCCTGGTTTTGTGTGTCCAGGTCTGTGTGGCACATTTTGTTACCCGTGCCTGGGCTGTCAAGTCGCATCTGACATGAATGAGTGCTGCCTTTGTGGAACCTCTGTGGCCATGAGGACCCTCTTCCGGACCCGATACGGCATCCCTGTAAGTCTCTTAGGATGGCACATCACTCACATACGTGCATCCATCTTCCCAACTGCTGTTATCCCTACGGAGGCCACTTGGCATAGGCACCATTGTGCAATCCTATATTCAATTCCTGTAGCATTAGATTCTCTGGTTCTGTGACTTTTGTGTATGTTTTTGTCATTTTTGTTGTTGTCTGCTTGTTTGTTAAAAGCCCTCGACAATAAGCAGCTCCTATGTCTGCACGTGCATCACACAATGGAAGAGGAATCGGTAGAACCTGCCCATGAACATGACCCTCTCTTGGTCATACTGTATAGGAAATAGATCTGCAACAGGTTAAAGATGAGGACTTCCAGCTTTTAAGAGGGACAGTCATTTGTCCCAAGATGCATTAGTAGTAGAGAGACAGAGTGCAAGGATTTGATTCAGACACTTTCCATTACACCTGCTTCTGTTTGTGTAACAGAACAGTATAGGAGTTTGAGTCTGCAAAAAAAAAAAAACCCAGAGCCAATAGGATGGGTGGATATGTGTGTGTTCCCATACACATGCAGACACAACACATATGTACCTGTATATATACACGACAAGTGTATGTCTACGCATATATTTGTCTGTGAATATACATGTATGTCTTTAAGTATGTCCATACGCACAGAAAGATCCAAAGACTTGTGCAAAATGGAATTAAAAGGTAAGCTAGGGAAGGCATTGTGGCTCAGCCAGTTAAGCCACTAAGTGGAAAAAAGAAAAAGGTTTATTTCAGTGCAAAAGTTGGGAAATCATCTATGAGTGAGGACAGAAACAGTCAGGGAGCTGGCTATGCAGTCGTGGAGGCCAGCAAATACAAAGCTTGCCTGGTAGGCCAGCTCGCCCAGACTATCGACAAGCAGAATTTCTTCTTGCTCAGGGGAAGTCAGTTTTTCTTTATTAAGGGTCTCCACAGTGTGCAGAAGAACTACTCACATGGTGAAAGATAATCCTATTTCCTCAAAATCTAAAATACATCTTCACAGAAACATGTAGAACAATGATAAGCAAATACCTGGTTACATAGCTTAGCCAAGCTGGCTCATAAAATTAGCCATCACAGGGAACAAATGAATACATAGAATGTTTTAAGAACTTATTTATTTGAATTATTTCATTTTTTTCATTTCAGAGGTTTGTCATTTTTAACTATAAAAATAGTTATAGTTTTATAACATCCAAACTTTAAAAAGTTTGTAAAATGAAAATCTAATCCCTTTATATGCAATTCCACTACCCGGTGATAAATTGCAATAAGAATTTGACAACTTATTTTAAGTTTTCTTCTATGCCTATAACATGTAAATATCTATCATAGGTGGCCAAAGTGATAGGAATATCAACAATATAGCTATAGGGTTAGGGAGCTCATTTTCTCCCCATTTTTAAAAATGGGATTATCGATGCTGTACTTATTATTTCCATGTACCTCTATGTCTGAATGCTGATTTTCTAAAAATCTGTGTAGTATTCTAAGACATAATTTACTTAATCACTTCCTCCTTGATGGAAGCTTAAATAATGTTTGTTTCAATAGTTGTATACTTATGATTGTGTCTATGTACACCGATATTTTTATAGAAATAATGTCCTGAATTTTAGAATAATGGATTCCAAGTTATGCACATTCAAAATTTGGAAAGATACTACCATATATCCCTCCAAAAAGCTTGTAACAACACAAAATCCATTATGTAAATTTGCCAATAAAGGGAAATATTTTTCTTTTCATCTTTGCAGGCAAAAATGGCATTTCATTATTGCTTTACTTTCATTTTTATTGGTCAGATTAAAACAGAATTACAGAGATGGTGGAAGAAGAGGAGGAGAAAGAGCTCGATCTTTCATCCTTAGTTCACTCCACAAGTGGCCATAACAGCTGGGGTTGGACCAAGTCTCCCACATGATAACAGGAGCCCAAGTATTTGCACCATCATTTACTGCCTTCTCAGGGGCATGAGCAGGGAGTTAGATTGGAAGCAGAGCAACAGGAACTCAGATTGACCCTCTGCTAGGGGATGCCAGAGTTGCAAATGGCACCTTAACCTACTGTTCTCCAAGGCTAGCCCCTATTATAAAATTACTAGTAAATATAAAAGTGATGACATTTTTAAAGGCCCGACACAATCCTGTTTTTCAAATGCTCTGAGAGGCTTGAAAAATTAATAACCGTCTGAAACTAAAGCTTCAGCTGATTGTCACAAAGTGTGGGAAACTAAAAGAAAAGATTGGTAGTATTCTAAAGAACTCTCTGATTGACATTGCTAGGATAAGAGCATACATTTTGGATAGAAAAACGTAAAAGTAATCAAAATCAGATAAGAACAGTGAAACATCTAAAAGGGAACAAAACAAACTAGGAAAGATCTAGTCAACACAAAGCAGAGGAAAATTCCCCAGTGATTAGCAAGTGTGAACCAAGGAAGCCTTCCCCATGGATGAAAGTAATTTAGGTTTCCTTGCTACGATGAAACAACTTGACCTGTCAGCCATTTTCCTCCGGGTTTGTGATGCGCCTTAGGGAGTCTGAAGGCCTTACACATAGGGGAACAGCTCTGACCACAGCCCTCTTTCCACATGAGCCTCTCTCTTGAGTGTGGGCTGAACCCTAGGAGCAAAGCCATAAGCCCTGCTCTGGGCTAGCCCTGCTCCTCCAGCAGTGTTATAGGACCTCCCATACCTCCACAGGTGCTCCCCCTGCCTGAGCCCAGGGTTGACCTGGTGCCCTGCCCCTGATTGGTTCAGTTTGTTTGCTTGGTTCCCCTTGTCATCTGTTTTGCGTCCCAACCCGCCCCCTAATTTTTCAAAATGTCTGGCCTATTACACCACCGGTGCGTGTTCTCTACATCAGCTTTCATTTGTTAAATGCATCAATGCCCTGAAGTAAATACTTCTTTATGGTAATCTCTTTACACAAGGTTTGTTAAGGAAGTCCCTGAACTTCTCTTGCTGGCTGGTTCCCCAGAGCGGAGTCCTTGGGCATGTTCTTCTACATCCTCCAATTTCTATTTTTCTGCTGCTCTCCCAGCATGTAAGAGGAGACTTTAGCTCTGGTTTCTTCCCTTCTGAACTACCTACCTAGCTACCTACTCAAGCATACACACATACATACACACACACGCACACCCTCCTCCCACCCACTCCTTCCAGTATTATATGTGTTTGGCTAATTACATACTCAGTGTTTGCTTATATATTTTTTTTTAAGATTTATTTATTTATTGGAAAGTCAGATATACAGAGAGGAGGAGAGATAGAAAGGAAGATCTTCCGTCTGATGATTCACTCCCCAAGTGAGCACAACAGCCGATGCTATGCCGATCCGAAGCCAGGATCCAGGAACTTCTTCCGGGTATCCCACACGGGTGCAGGGTTCCAAGGCTTTGGGCCGTCCTCGACTGCTTTCCCAGGCCACAAGCAGGGAGCTGGATGGGAAGTGGAGCTGCCAGGATTAGAACCAGCGCCCATATGGGATCCCGGGGTGTTCAAGGCGAGGACTTTAGCCGCTAGGCCACGCCACTGGGCCCTTGCTTATATTTATTATATCCAAGTCCAGGGTTGAATCACATAGCAAATACAATTGCTTTTCCTCCTAATCTTTGTTTATCCTGTTATTAATAGCTACCAGTCATTTTCCATAATCTACCTCCACTTACTTATGAGTACTTTACCCCAGATTCTTGGCTGGTTTCTAAATCATTTGCCAAAGGATTCCACCTAGCAGAGGTCTTCCTCATGTAATCTCTTCGGATCTCCTGCCCTTTTGAACTAATTGTCCTTCACTTCTGGAGCCTACCTTTCACCCTAGGACTGTGGCCACCAAGACCAGGGAACTTCCAGACACCACTCTTACGTGAAACTGAAGAAAGCTCTGCCTTCCTCTTTTTTCTACTTACACATTTTGATGAAACACCTCCTCTAATAGCTCCCTCGGATAAGGAGGGTCTGGAAGAAAAGAACTCTGAAATTCCTCAAATTGTCAACCTCACTTTAATAGTAGGGCTGAACCTCATGGCACATTTTCAGACTTAGAGAGTCCGGGGACTTATTAAGTCATTAAAAAGGGCACTTCTCTCGATGCACCCACCCATCCAAACGAAAGACAATGCCTTGTGCTTCTCTTCGAGATGTCTGAAAATTCAAATCTAAATTCCAGACAAGCGAATTTCACATCTCTACTTCTCTGTTTTTCAAACAGGGGTCTATTTGTGATGACTACATGGTGACCCTCTGCTGTCCTTACTGCTCTGTTTGCCAAATCAAGAGAGACATCAACCGAAGGAGAGCCATGAACGCCTTCTGAAGAGCTGGTGGTGAGTCCGTACCAACGTTGTGTCCAGAATCGGAATTTCTAGGAAGATAACAAAGCACTTGATTCCTTACTCTTGTTTGAATAATAATTCGATAAAATAACTTAAGTCTTCCAATGTGATATTTTAGTATAAGGATTGATTTTGATTTCTTAGTATGAGAAACAAAGCTCTAGGATTTAAAGCCATATTTTGATGGGCAAAGAAAAGATGGTTTTCCTGTTCCTCAGATTTCTGCTAGCCTGTTAATGAAGCCGTTACCCCTTACAAAATACCAGAGTATGGTGAAAGACAGAAGTAGAAAATATGCTCTCTGGTAAGACAAGCAAACCAATTTAAACACTGAACAAAGAAAAGGTAATATTGGACTTGGTTGTAGCATAAAACATCTACCACAGTGAGGTTGGCTTAATCAGAGAAGTGCTGGAAAGTGACTTTCAAAAGAGAATAGACGTAAGACTTAGAATATTTGTAAGGATTACATTGAATTTCACTATCTAAAAACAAATTTAAAGGATTTATTTATTTATTTGAAAGAGTTATAGAGAAAGAGGAAAAAGACAGAGAGAGAGAGAGAGATCTTCCAACCACTGGTTTGCTGCCTAGATGGCTGCGACATCCAGGGATGAGCCAAGCTGAAGCCAGGAACTTCTTCCAGGTCTCCCAGTGGGTGCAGCGGCCCAAATCCTTGGATGATCTTCCACTGCTTTCTCAGGCACAAGGGCAGGGAGTTGGATTGCAAATGGAGCAGCTGGGACAACAACTGGAACCCATACAGAATGTTAGCCACATAGGAGGAGGCTTTACCCACTACACCATAATAACAGCTCCCATGAACTGAAATGTAACCAAATCATTTAAACTACTTGCTCTCAGAATTAGCCACTTGAAGAAGTAGTTAAGTAGAACTTGACATGATTTTATCAGTTATCTAAAGTATGGGACAAGAACATTCATTTTTCCACATTTTGCAATATCACACTTCCCTTCTTCCCAATTGACAACTCTTCATGGTTCACAAATAATGCTTTGGAGGTCATCTTTTTCAAGTGGTCACTTACTTCCAAAATAATGTATCCTGCACCTACTGCCATGTAAGACTCTACTGGCGACCAAAGAAGACAAAAAGTCAAGAGGCTGCTTCCCCTGTCTTTGTGGTCTCCATATACTCACAAAAAGGGGGCTAGATACCCCCCACCCAATAAAAGGCAGTGCTTGTCAAATGCCTCCAGACCAAGCGCAATGTTGTGTTCAAAGGAGAAAGATTCCATCTTGTGAGAAAGCCAAGTGACGTTTTCTTGGGAGAAGTAGTTTCTAATTCTAAAAAGGAAATGGGCATCCACTTATAGCAGGAATTTGGTGAAACTCCAACTGAGATCATCAAAGAATTTTCTGAAGGCTGCTTGCCAAGGAGTCAGGAGGGCATAGGGAAATAAATGGCAGGGGCATTGACAGAACCATGCCAGCAAGGGCCATGTGGCAGGGCCCCTGGGGCCCCCCACCCCCAGTGGGGAGGTGCTGCTACCTGAATTGCAGACTGAAGCCCCAGGCAGAGAACTGCACAAAGGACGCCTAACAAGAAGAGAATCCGACCTGGCGCAACCCCCAGCACCAAGACCAGAGAAATGTCCCCCAGCATCATTTTCTGATGTCCTCCTGGGATTGCCTTTGACAGAGGGCAGAAAAGTTATTGCTCTGGACGCATGGGCCAAGCTTCCAAGGGCCGACGAGGTAGACAGAGGGCAGACGCAGAACGTGCATGGTGGATCCCATGGGGCACACGGAGGGCCCCTGACCCCAGATGTGATGTCCGTGACTAGACGCGGAATGTCACTTCTGATCAGCAGTAGCGTTAGCGACACCTGCCAGAGATAGGGACCACAATAATGTCTTCCTGGGCGCTGGGCCAACTGGACTAGAGTGTATGGTCCGAGAGAACAATGAGTGAAGTAAGAAATCGTTGATGAGTTGGGGCCGTGGCATGCCACAGGATGAGGCTTTGAGCACGTGAAGAGGGTCCTCTTTGGAGACAGTTCGTCTGTTCATCTGTTCATGGGACACAGAATGGGCTCACGGGATGAGGAAACAAGGTAGAGCTCCACGGTCCAACACTGTTTACTCACACACAGGAAACAGTCTGGCAGATGTATCTGTATCATCAGGAGTCCTGGCATCACACCTCCTTGGCTTCTTGCAAACCCCAGGGCAATGATCTCACCGAGTCTTTGATTTGCTTTGAAGTAAAAAATGCTCTGGTGGTTGTCCTTCGTGTTCACCAACCAGGACACCGTGTGACTCCTTGCCAGTAAATCCTGAAACGTGAATGTATCTGAAATGAGATCAAGGGAGCAATGATTTATATTCAAGCAGATGGAGACAAAGGGACAGAGGACCTGGCGTGAAGACCATCCCAGGATCAAACTGAACAATTTGAGGCAGAAAAAGATGCTGAATTGAATAATAATCCAAAGTGTCAATGGATCGTGTATGAGGCCATACCAATGAATGTGATTGCATAAAATGTGAAGGTTTTTTGTTTTGTTTTGTTTTTTAAGGATATGTGTTGCTGCCAGTGTTATGGCTAAACAGGCTAATACTCTGCCTGCAAGCACTAGTATTCCATATGGGCACTGGTTCATGTCCTGGTTGCTCCACTTCTGATCCAGCTCCCTGCTTATGGCCTGGGAAGATGGCTCAGGTCCATGGGCTCCAACAGCCACATGGGAGACCTGGAAAAGCTTCCAGCTCCCTTCATCAGAGAAGAGGCCTGGGAGGCAGCAGGGGATGGCTAAGCTTTCAGATTCCTGCCATGATGTGAAAGACCTGGGTTAAGTTCCTGGCTCACAACTTCTGCCTCCTCCTCCTGGCCCCAGCCACTGCAGGCATCTGGGGCGGAAACCAGCACACAGGAGCTGTGTGTGTGTGTGTGTCCCAAAAAAGAAAACAAAAACTAAGTAAATTTATTGGTCCAAAATTATTTGAAATCTATGCATAGTTTTCAGAATATTCATATCCATTAATTTCTTAAAGTTTTTTTTTTTTAAAGGCAGATTTACAGAGAAAAGGAGAGACAAAGAAAAAGGTTTGCATCTGCTGGTTCACTCCCCAAGTGGCCACGATGTTGAGCTGAGCTGATCCAAAGTCAGGCACAAGAAACTTCTTCTGGGTTTCCCACGCAGCTGCAGGGCCCCCAAAGCCTGGGACCATCCTCTACTGCTTTCCCAGGCTACAAGCAAGGAGCAGGATGGGAAATAGAGCAGCCAGGATACAGACCAACTCTCATATGGGATCCTGGCAGATCCTTACAAGGTGAGGATTTCGCCACTAGGCTATTGTGACTGGCCCCATGAACTTTTCTTGAAGACCCTTCATATACATGAGTTTCAAAACATTAATCCATTAAAAAAAATAAATGCGTCCTTTTTAAAATGTTTATTTTATTTGTTTTCATCTGCTTGAGAGGCAGAGAAAGAAAGACATTCCTTTTTCTGGCTTACTCCCAGAATGCCCGCAACATCCCAGGCTGGGTGGGTCAAGTGGAATCCAGAAACCAGGAAACCCATCTGTGTCTCCCACATGGTTGCCCCCAGAGTGTGTATTAGCAGGAAGCTGGGTCAGAAGTCAAGCATCAAATATAGGATGTGGCTCACTGAGCAGCAGCTTAGTCCACATCCACTCCTACAACTAGCTTCTGATTCTATCACCCTAACCATTTTTTAAAAATATTCCTCTACAATGGAGCAATCTCAAAAACTCTTCCAGTCAGATGACCCTTTCTCTTCTCGGTCACGTTCCCCAAATCCCATGGATCCTGTCCAGTCACAACAGAGGCCAACAGAGCCACGGTCCACAAAACACCACCCAATTCCCCTCAGAATGTGGGAACACTCTGCCAAGGTGTTCAAAAACAAAGAAACTTTTTGCTGGAAAAAAAAAAAAAACCATTTCACAGTACAGCAAAGTCCAACAAAATGTCAGGACCAAGTGACCTCAGCCAAAGACACACGAATGTGAATGAATCAACCTTGATTCATCCCATGTGACAAAACCTACAGTAAGAAACTAACTAGGGGTCTGGTGTCATGGCATAAGCACACTAAGATTCTATATACGTGCCAGTTCATGTCCCAGTTGCTCCACTTCCCCTCCAGTTCCCTGCTTATGGCCTGAGAAAGGCAACAGAATCCCAAGTGTTTGGGCTCCTGCAGCCACATGAAAGACTTGAAGGAAGATCCTGCCTCCTGGCTTCTGATCAGCTCAGCTCCAGCCATTGCAGCATTTGTGGAATGAACCAATGGGTGGAAAACTTTCTATTTTTCTCTGAAATTCTATGTTTTCAATAAAAATAATATAAATATTTTAAAAGAGACAGAGATGTTAACTAACAAGGAGACTGGGTGCATGGCATATGGGAACTCTGGGAGATAACTTTGCAGCTTTCCCATGAATCCAAATGAAGTTGACATCCTGGCACAGTAGCATAGCGCTAAAGTCCTCTCCTTGCATGTGCCAGGACCCCATATGGATGCTGTTTCTAATCCCTGCCATGCTGTTTCCCATCCAGCGTCCTGCTTGTGACCTGGGAAAGCAGTCGAGGGAAAGCCTTGGGACCTCCACCCATGTGGGAGACCCAGAAGAGGTTCCTGGCTCCTGGCTTTGGATTGGCATGATTCCAACCGATGCGGCTGCTTGGAGAGTGAATTGACAGATGGAGAATCTTCCTCTCCTCCTCTCTGTATCTGACTTTCTAATAAATTTTTTAAAATCTTTTTAAAAACTAAATAAAAATAAAAAGTAGGATCTGGCACAATGGCTCATTGGTTAATCCTCCACCCACAATTGATAGCATATGGGCACCGATTCACATTCTGGCTCCTATACTTTCCATCCAGTTTGCCTGTGGCCTGGGAAAGCAATAGAGGATGGCCCAAAGCCTTGGGACCCTGCATCTGCATGGAGACCCAGAAGCACCTGGCTCCTAGCTTCAGATCAGCTGAAGTGTGGCCATTGCAGCCACTTGGGGATTGAACCCAGCAGATGCAGGATCATTCCCTCTGTCTCTCCTCCTCTCTGTAAATCTGTTTTTCCAATAAAAATACATAAATCTTTTTTTTTTTTTTAAATTTAAACTAGATTGAAAAAACTTAACTTTATTCTTTTGGCTGTCTCTTTTAGGTCAAGAGCTCCTACTGAAGCAGCTGAAATCTGCAAATATCTTCAGCATGGACAATGTGCCTTTTAACATCTGAAATAGCATGAATTCACTGAACATAGTAATGTTGTGAAAACCAAGTTTTGAATTATTTTGAATGAGATTGTCTCTGAGTTTTGCCAAATGGTCCAGCCTAGTTTGTTCTAGGTTTCATATTATCACATTTTCTGGCTTCAATTTTTTAACAACATTTAAACTATAAACCTCTGCTTCTTGGCCTAAGATCCAGTGCAAAACTGTAAGCCAAATTGCATTTTACTAACAAGATTTCTGATGCTTCCCTCTTCTTCCCAGAATATCCTTGTCGTTATTTCTCCTACTTCAGTACCTTAGCAGTACTTCTAGCCCACACCAACTCAATTCTTTCATTTAAGAACTTTCAGAGTTGTGGCACAGCCAGTTAAGCCACCACTTGCAATGGTGCCAACATCTCATTTTGGAACACCAGTTCACATCCTGGCTGCTCCACTTCTGATCCAGCTCCCTGCCAATGTGCCTGGGAAAGCAGTGGAAGATGGTTCAAGCACTTGGATCCCTGCTGCCCAAGTGAGAGACCAGGATGAGTTCCTAGCTCCTAGCTTTGGCCTGGTCCAGCCTAAGCTGTTGTGGGCATTTGGAGCGTGAACTCATGGATCGAAGATCTCTCTCCTTCCTGCTCATACCTTTCTATCGCACTGCTTCTCAAAGGATTTTCTTTTAAAAAAGAAAGAAACAAATAACTATTCCCGGGTAAATATGGTACATTTAGATAACCCTTTTGCACTTGTTCCTCTTCCTATTGCAACTTCATACAAAAAGTGCACTGTAGCTTGCTTCCCAGCTGCGCATCTGGGGGTTGTGTTGTTTCCTTCCCTTTCAAATGTGAATTATCAAAGCAAGCAGTAAAAATCCAATGATCAAATCAAGTCTGATTCAATCTGGGTTAAAGTTGGAATGTGTGAAATAACTTTTCATGTTTCGTGTCCTTTTTCTTTGTCCAGCTGCAACATCTTGTCCTGGTGAAACCTCACTTCCTAATTCTGGGTTCTCTTCCAGTGCTTGAAGAGTCCATTTCCTTTTTTCTTGGAGGGGGGTGGAGATAGGGGAAGGCACAACTACAGACTTTCTAGATGTGTTGTGAAAGCTCAGTGAGATCAAGTATCGAAGCACCCAGAACCTGGCACGCTGCGAGCCTGAATGCTAGACAGCACACCACCAGCTTGAATACTCCATCCCTTCCTTCACTTGTCCTATACACGTGAGAAGTGTGTGGGGTTCTCCCCCAGGGTCACCCCTACCACATCCAGGTTTCATGAAATAACATCGTCTACTTCCGGGGTTCAACTGCCTTCTCTATGCCAAAGAGACCTCTGAAATCAGAATTTCCGTTTCCCCCTTCCTACTGATCCTCAATAGATCTTTGACTACTAAATAAATCCATGTGAAGGTCCCCTGATCTTCTCTACACACCAGATCCACCATCACCTGCTCACTTGTTCAAGTGAGAGATTTAGATGTTACTGAGGCCTCCGTGATCTCTTCACACCCATCTCCTTTTCCTCACACTCAAATATCAACTTTTTTTTTCTTTTTCTTTTTTAAAAAATTTGTCCCGACCTACAGGACATGAGGGTGGACCGGGAATGCCCGGCTGCTAGCCCCCCAGGCTGCTGGCCCAAGAAACACAAGGACACATGGACACACGTACTTGGTGGAAAAGAGTGCCCAATGCTCTTTATTTTACTCCTCATATATATACCTTCTTCTCTAGGGGAGGAGGGGAAGGGGAGAGGTTTCCTGGAACTAATTATCTTCATTGAAACAGGGAAGGAACTAATTATCTATTGAAACAGGAGGAACTAATTATCTACATTGAAACAGGGGAGGAACTAATTATTTGAACAGGAACAAAGGAGGAGATTCTATTCCGCTGCTTTACACAGGATGTTCTGGCCTAAGATCCTGCTTACTGTGGTCCTGCTTGCCCAAGGCAGGCTTTGCAATGCAACAGGCTGTCAGGCATGCCAAATCTAAGGCCCATAAGTCTGTGGCTCCTAACATCTATTTATTTTTATTGGAAGGTCAAACATACAGAGAGGAGAGGCAAAGAAAAAGTCTTCCATATGCTGATTCACTCCTCCAGTGGCCAAAACGGCCAAAGCTGAACCGATTCGTAGCTAGGAGCTTCTTCCAGGTCTCCCATGTGGGTACAGGGTCCCAAGGCTTTGGGGCGGCCTCAACTGCTTTCCCAGGCCACAGGGAGGGAGCTGGATGGGAAGCAGAGCCGCCAAGATTAGAACCAACATTCATGTGGGATCCTGACACATGCAAGACAAGGGCTTTAGCCACTAGGTTACCATGCCATGCCCAGACACCAACTTCTGTTACCTAAACACCACCCGAATCCTCCAATAAGTAACCCATTTTATATTTTTTGCATTTTCAGTACCACAGACAATGTCTGATATCAGGTACTAGCCTGGTCCAGCCCCAGCCATTTAACCATTTGTAGAGTGAACCAGCCAATGGAGGATATCCATCTCTTCTTTCTGTCTCTTTCAAATAAAATGATTTTTTTAATTTTTATTTTTGAAATGTTTACATAGTTGATCAGAGTGAGATGGGTCAAAGATCAGGGGAAGGTATGTGAGACCACTGTTACACATTTTGTTTTTCTTCTTCTTGTATTTGGGGGAGGGAGGGATACGAGCGGAGAAACCACACCGAACCTCCCTGTTGCTGCAGTAACCAAAGGTGTGGAGCAGCCACCTGATGTTATCCCAGCATCTCTGTTCTGGAGCATGTTCTAAGGGCTCGGTTCAGGTGGTTTTGATAGTTCTGAGATGCTATTGATATCACCACTCCAAAGATGAGGAAATCCTTCCAAGGTCAATTGGCTGACATAATCCACCTCAGCTTCCATTCACCTAGAAATTTGCTGTCAAGCTTCACTGGGGGTAGTTGATCAATTTATTCTGCCCTCCTTCCTCTGCAAACCAATGGATGCTGTGGCCCAGCCCAGCCCTGCCCACTGCACACTTGCCCCTCACACACACCAGGGGGAGCTGCAGCCCAGTCACAGTGATTCCCTGTAACCCACTGGGCCAGCCCCCAGCTCTGTTCCTGTGCCTGCCAGCATATTCAGTGGTGTGCTCTGGTGTGTCCCACATCTCATTCAGATCTCATATATATTTTTGGGCATTAAAGCCTAACTCAACCCAACTAACTCCACCTTACAGCTTACACTCATACCAGCAGGTGCCACCATCTATCCAGCCAGGCCCACCCCCATGCTCGCTAGAAGGAGTTGCAGCCCATTAGAGGTGCCCACAGCCTCCCCCGCTGCACCCACTCCCTGCCCCAGATCTTGCACTCTCCAAGTGGCTCTACAGTCTAGCTTGATAGGACTTGCCCCAGTCTCAGCACGTGCCAGATAATGCTGCAGCAAAACTCAACCCACCTACACTTACTCCGGCTCATGCCCGTACCGGTGGATACAACCTGTTAGCCCAACTTGGCTGTCTCCCTAACCCAGTTCACATGTGGCTACAGGTGTCGCAGCCCCCTGCCCAGCCTGGTCTGCTCCCAGTCCCAGCTCTCATGCTCACCAGCAGAAGCAGTGACCCAGCACTACTTCTCCCCTACGGGGCTCACACTAATACTCCCTGTTGCTCCCATCCCCAGAATCGTGTGTGCTCGTCGGGGCTGTGGCCCAGTCTGGCATAGCCCTTCTCATCTTGGCATTTGCTGGTGGGTACTGCCACTCAACCTAGCACAGTCAGCCCCAGTCCCATCCCTAATGTGAACTGGCTGGTGCTTCAGCCTGTCCTGCACCCCATCCTGGTTCTCAGATCTGCCAGTGGGTATTGTGAACTGGCCCAGCCTGGCCCACCCCCAGACCTGAGCCCCAAATACTGTGTCCTGGCCTGGGCTGGGCTATTCCTTGCTTTGGTTCTTTCACTCACCTGCAGGGACTATACCCTAACAAAGGAGTTCCCCAAGCTCCACTGTCAGGTCTCCTCCCAGTGGCAGATCTTAAGCACACCAGTGGGTCATTGGCCCAGGCTGACTTAGTCCACCTCCTGTCATGGCAATAACAGAGGCCTTGCCCAACTGGCCCACAGCCAATCTGGTTCTTACTGTTGAGTGTTACAACCCAGCCCTGCCTAGCCCATGCCCTGATGCAGCTCTCACATGGCTCAGTAGGAGCCAAGAACTTGCCAAGCCCATTCTGTACCCATTCTGACTTTCACGAGCACCAGTGGGTGCTGGAGCCTAGCCCAATCTGGCACCCTCCAGACCCAGTCCAGACTCGTACTGAGGACACTGCAGCCATGTCCAACCCAGACCATCGCCCCCATTCTGGCTCTCATGCTCACCAGTGGAAACCACAACCTAGCCAGGGTGTCCCCTTAGCTCCCCAACCAGACCTGTTCCCAACCCCAGATCTTGAGCATGCCAGTGGTTGCTCTGACTCAGCTCAGCATAGCCCATCCCCCATCTTGACCTTTGCCACTGGATGCTGGGACCTGGCCTGACCTGCCCCCTTCCCCAACCCCAGTCCTAACCTTTGCTGGTGAGTGCTGCAGCCTGACCCTGCCCAGTCAGCTCCCAAGCCTGACTCATGCAAACTAGTAGGTTTGATAACCTAACTCAACATGCCATTGAAAGAAAATCAAAGACCTTCCTGAAGCAAATGATGTTATTGTGTGACCTGTGAGTCAGTGAGGAAATTAATAAGAAAAACAAAAACTTTTTTTGAATGAATGAAAATAAAAACAAAAATATCAAACCCCCTGAGACATAGCAAAAACAGTATTGAGTAGCATTGAAAGATAATTTTGCTGGATATGAGCGCCTCCTTGTGGACTTCTGTACTTGGTGCAACTTGAAGAACTAAACTTAGGGTTACTTGGTTCTGGGAATCTGAATGCCTAGAGAACAGGCATGATGACTTACCTTCAGAATTCTAGCCCTTGGTGTAAATCAAGGCCTGCAGAATGGAAGGAGAAAGTATCAATACATTAATTTAAAACGAAGTACTGGAGTCTGAGTAGCGTTCAGTCGTGGGGCTGGGGCGAAAGGAGCCCTCTGCAATGTGGTGGCTGCAGGGGATAGGTTGTCTGAGCCAGGCCAGACCCAATGCTGGGGACTCAGGCCATGGTCACTGCTGCCATGCAGTGAACAAGTCCTGGGTTTTGGGTGGCCAGCATGCCAAGTGGTACCAGGCCCTGCCTGCTGGC